GCAGCAGTGCCACAGCGTGTTTTATGGCCACCTACTTTTGTGACTTGTTCAGTGATCGGTCATGACACACATGTCATAAATCGATTGTATGTAAGTCAAAAACGATTAGGTCAATATACTCTGTCAGTTTGATTTACCGTTAAAAATGTCTACGCATTCATGCAGGACCATCCATGTCAAGGCTTCCGTCCAACTAGAAACATCCACCTTCAAAATTCCACGTACTAAATTAGACGTTTTGGATAGGAAAACCTGAGATAAAATGTGTAGTTTTTGTACAAGAATTGATAAACACATCGTCCATTTGGGTAACAAACCCTCGATGCATCGATGAAAGTCTCTCATTTGGGTAACTCGTCCCTGATAAGCTAAGGCAGTCATCAATACAACTCTAATACCGTGGTGAGAGTCACCCATTTGGGTAACAGATCCCTTATGTGCCATAAGGAGGGTATTCACTGATAAGAATTACAAAGATGACGTTGGATTTTTCAACAAGGGTAAACAAACTCAAAGATGCCTGTGTATTTACACATAAGGCATGTATACTAATTTATGACGCGTTTCTATGCCAACAAGCATACGGTACTGATTTAAACAAATATTTCCTTTTGCGTTGTTAGTGTCGGTGTGAGTGCGGGTAATAATTCACTGAAGGGCGGTCTCTGCGATGTGCAACATATCCGATAACCCCAGGAGAGAATCACCCACTATTGTCGTAACCTTTGACCTCAAACCGGAAATGTTATCGACTTATTGTTTTAACATCTGTAGCTGCACGTTTGCGCAATATCGGCAATTAACCTAGTTTTATCTCAGATTACTACGCGGCTCGGCTTTTAGCTCATAGATTAATATGCAGGCCGTCTTTTCAATACCTACTTAATATCAAACAACCCGATCAGAATTTATACATATCGTATTTTATAAGGCTTAACATTCCCTTGCAATATAGATTTCATAAATACTTACCAGCAGAACTTATTTTGTAAACAAGTAGATCGGCGTACTGAATATAATGTCGCGGAGCCTGTGATGGTCACGTGATAAATAGACACGTTTAACTGTACATATTTCGTTGTATCTTAAAATGTACTTGCCATCAATTTTTATATCACGTGACCTCGTCGCAATTTGTAAATAGAACAATAGCAGACAAGTTGATCTAAATAGATTGATCACATGACTATTCCATAATACTTGAGCAACACATTGATATGACCTTTGACATGTTGGATGGTTTAACCTAGTTCTTTGTCACTTTAAACGAAATATGTAAAAATATAGTGTATATTGTACGTTCATGGACTTGACATTGCCAGTATTGTAAAAATTAGTTATTTTATTCAATGTATGTATTTGCAATAAAATATGGGGACACTGTTTTAAATCTATCGTACAGATACTGGGCGTGTTGTTGTTTTTCCGTTACGTGTAATCTGACTCGATACATTCAATAGTAATTTATTTCTTACTGTCGATGAAAAAAACACATAATAATAAACCTTCTTAACTCGAACGTAAAAGTGTCGTAATAAAACGAAAATCGATATGCCTTTAAATAACTATCAGTGTCGCGTGACAAGTGATAATTTACGATCTGATCGTCTTAGGGTGTCTCATCTTTCTCGTTAAGTCCTCTCATTTGAATCTAATTATAGACACTGTAAGCTATTAATTATCGATGATCTAACTTCCATATGGTGGTGTAGCTGCAGCTCCCGTGAAAGTCAAATAACTGTCGTCGTGAAAAAAATATAATTTGAATAATTATACAGAATATAACATACTAAGTGTGTATTACAAACAATTGAATGCAAAGTTGCAAATTTGTCAAATTTCCACTGACTACCAGTACGTATGAATTTTGGCTTATAATATTTGATTGTTTTTGTTGTTTTTTCAAATGTCATCAATGAATTTGATGGTCGCGGCTAACACTTTTGGGGCAGAAATTTACCGAATCTTTGTTAGATTATTTTTTGTCATTGGCTGTTTTGAATTCCACAGAAAAAAAAATTGGGGTACCCAAACCAGTATTTGAATTTCATCATGTACTTTGTTCTTTGTTCATTTCTAATCCACAATAGCAAGGTTTAATGCTATAGACAAAACGCAAAGTCACTGTTACCATAGAAATAATATCGGGTACACTTGATTGGTATTTTTTTTAGCTCCGCTGTCGACTTTGTCGAGCGGAGCTTATCATATGAGTGATTGTCCGTCGTCGTCCGTCGTCCGTGTCAATGTTTTACTTTTTCGACTTCTTCTTGAAATCTACAAGCCTGAATGCTTTGATACTTG